GTGAACCGGGCTTTCTTTCGTTCTTCGCTGGCAGAGGCTAGGTCCAGGTGTGCTGAGGTTGCCCAAGCTAATGCCGAGGCCCTTCATGTTACGGCCACCGTGTTGGACAGTCTTCTTGCTTTGCCTTTCAACCGTGTCGTTCGAGGCGCCGTCGCCTCTCCTTTTGCAGGTGCCCCTTCACAGGCCAAGGCCGAGGTCTTCGCACGTTGCTGGAACAGACTAGGCCGCCGCCTTAACGAATGGAACGCCTCTGGCCCTGTCACTCGGGAGGACCTGGGCCGTTCTGCTGGTAAAGTTGAGAAGATTGAGGAGCAGATTAGAGTTCTTCAGCACGACAAAACTGGGCAGGCCTTCGCTATGCCAAGCCTTGCCCTTGCGCAGGATGTGGTAGCTTCCAGGATCGCTTTCACAGGGGTCCCTGAGTTTGACCCATGTCCTTATTTGGACGACGAGCTTCGGAACCTGTACCTTCGGCCAAAAGACTTCGCCTGTGGCTACGCCGATCTCCCCTTTGACCCCCCTAAGGTACGGTTTAGGGCCCAGGGTTATAAAGGGAAGTTAGATCTGCTCGCGCTGCTTGATGAGGGTGATCGCTTGTGTTTGCGCCCGGCCTCTCAAGCTGCTGCAGAGTGGTGCTGTGGGGTGTTCTCAGTGCCGAAAAGCTCCGAGCGGGACAGGTTGATAATTGATGCCAGGCCCAGCAATGCCCTCCAGACCTGCGACAACCGATGGTTGATCATGATGCCCACCGCTGCAAGCCTGCTGGGTTTCGAGCTTGAAGGTTGCGAAGTTTGCACTTTCTCAGGAGCCGACGTACGGGAGTTCTACCATAACTTCCTGGTGTCGGATCAGCGATCGTCCTTGTACACGTTCGTTGGCAGTTTCTCGCCCGCTGACCTTGCGTGCCTAAAGAGCTTCACCCCAGACCTCTTTCAGCACTCTCACGTCTGTGCCTCTCTTCGGACCATGGCAATGGGCGATGTGAACAGCGTGTCCTTCGGGCAAGCTAGCCATATAGGGCTCCTGCTTGCATATCAGGTCATTGACCCGCGCTGCCTCCTCACACTCAGGGGCGGCGTTCCGCGCGGGGATTTAGCCCTAGGGGTTGTTATAGACGACCTCGTGTGCATTGAGCGGTCGCTGCGGGACATCGGCCCTACCAAGGCTGCCCCAGTGATGGAACGAGTGCATCAGGCTTACAGGTCCGCCCCTCTCCCGGTCCACCAGGGCAAGTGCTTTGAAGACCAGCATTGCGCAAGCTTCTGGGGATCTGAGGTAGACGGGCTTGCAGGCTGGGTGCGGCCGTCTTGGGCTCGCCTAGTGCCTTTGGTCAGCCTCACCATTGCTTGTCTCAAACTCCCAGTGCTCAGCGTTAGCCTTTTGGAGGTTTTAGCCGGGTCGTGGGTTTCAGTCGTTTCCTACCGCAGGCGCTTGCTCAGCTTGTTGAACCATATCTACGTGATCCAGCGGGGGAAAAGCAGAGACGCTATAGTCCCTTCCACGCCCGGCCTTCGCGCTGAACTGTTCGTGCTGTGCGCCCTCGCCCCCTTCATCGTGTGTGACATGCGTGCTTCTTCGTCGGGGTGCCTTGTCTGCACTGACGCTTCGGACATGGTTGGTGCCGGTGCCTGTGTTAACATCGAGAAGGTGTGGGCAAAGGAGCTTCATCGGCACGCCTTGAGCAAGGGCCTTTGGAACCGGCTCCTACGTCCTAGCGAGTGTTTGCTCCGCCGCTCTGGCGACTTAGATCAAGAGGACGAGCTCCCTGGTGAGAGCTACCGTACCCATGCCTTGTGGAGTTCCCTTTGCAGGTTTCTTCAGTTCAAGGTTTTAGGCTCTTTCAAGCGACGGGGCAGTACGCACATAAATGTGAAAGAAGCCGAGTCCTATCTGGCAGTCGAAGAGCACCTCGCTGCAGGCGTCTGGGAGAGCGCCAGGACCCTGGGTCTCCTAGATTCTCAGGTTGTGCTGGGGGCCTTGATCAAAGGCCGATCGAGCTCGCCCTCGCTGAATGTGCTTCTTCAGGGATCTGTTCCTGCATACGTCTTTTTCAACGTGCACCCTTCTTACAGCTTTGTTGCTTCCGAAGACAACCCTTCTGACGATCCGAGTCGACTCAGGCCGATCCGTTCTCCCTCTGCCCCGGTACCTGCTTGGTTCACCGCCGGCGCTGCAGGAGACTTCTCTGAGCTTGACCTTTTTCTTGAGTCCTTCGGACTCCTCCCTGACCAGCTCCAAGGCCTGCCCGAGTTGCTTGCGTCTTTCGCCGCCCGCTGTGGAGATCCTTTGCCTTCTAGTGCCATTCGTCGAGAGTACTCCGAGGGCCAATGTGATGATCGTTTGCAGAGGGAATCCGCTCCTGACGGCGCTGGAGAGGCTCAGAGCTTTTCGGTTCCTTGTGCCCGAGGCGTTGAAAATCGAACTCCAGTCCTTTTTCAGGCCTTCTTCAAGCAGTGTGGTGCTTCGCAGTTTCTTTGGCCAGGGGGTCGCCGGCCCAACGCCTCTTCGCGCCCTGAGTGCGCTGTGTACCTCGGCCTCTTTGCGAGCAAATGCCTTGTCGCGCGTTCCTTTGTGCAACTTGCAGGAAAGCCAGCCGTCACTTTTGACTGGCAGCACGGTGGTGCCCAGGACCTTTGCAAACCTGAGGTGCAGCAGCGGCTCCTTGCGGCAGCCCCTTTAGGAGCCTTTTGCTGTGTTGGCATGAGTCCCCCTGGGAGCACTTTTTCCTTGGCCGCGCAACCTAGGTACCGGAGCCGGGAGCACCCCTGTGGAGTTCCTTCTCTTGGCCATCATAGTGCGGCAAAGGTAGCTGTTGAAAACCGTGCCCTGGAGTTTACTTGCAGCTTCGCTGCGTTGCTCTGCGAGCTTCGCATCCCGTTCTGGATTTCCGGACCGGCCACCTCCCTCATGTGGGCCCATCCCTCCGTTGTTGAGCTCCTCGGTCGCCTCCCTACGCCCTGTTTTTGGACTTTCGACCGCTGCCGTTTCTCAGAGCCATGGCTAAAGCGCACCCGTGTCCTGGTTACCACTGACTTGGCAGGGGTCGAGCACCTTTGCACAGGTGGGCACGAGCATCAACGACTTCGAGGCAGGGTGTGTGCTGTTGGACCGGACTGGACTAAGAATGCTGCTGCTTGGCCTCGCGGAGCAGCCCTTGAGCTTGCTCGGAGTCTGGCTGCTGAGCTGGTGAGCGCCGCCGCCAGCGAGAGTGGAGTTGCTTTTGTTGGGCATCGGCGAGTTGGAGAAGCAAAAAATCCTGGACCCCCGAAGAGGGTCCCTCGACGTGGTTCTCTTTTCGACGTCGAGCTCATCGAGGCTTCCACTCTCAGGGTCAGAGCACAGATCTGGACAGTCTTCATAGCATGGCTGCGGGAGGGGCTATCTGAGGGTGCTGTTCTCGGCATCTTCAGGTGCCCCCCTTTGCTATCTCTTATGCTGCGGGACTATGGTGACGTGCTTTACAGAACTGGTTTTCCTCTGGGTTCTTACCGCCAACTCTTAGCTCACGCGCAAAAGTTGCTGCCACTGCTCAAACCGCACATGGCGGTAGCTTGGAACATGGTCACGAGGTGGCAGGAACTCCAGCCGGTCTGCCACAGGACCCCTCTTCCAGAAGCTTTACTGCGTGCCATGGTGGGGCTCGCTTTTTCGCACGGCTGGAAAGTGTGGGCCGCCACTACTCTGGTGATGTTTTACTTCATCTGCAGGCCAGGTGAAGTGCTTCGAGCTCTCAGGCGAGATCTTTTGACACCGGGAGACACACTGGAACCTCACCACAAGTGGCTTTACCTGCGGATCCGAGCTCCGAAGACGAAGCGACGTGGAGCCAAGATACAGCATGCTAAACTAGATGATCCGATCGCTCTCGAGATAGCTCTCTCGGTCTGGGAGCAGTTACCTCGGGGCCGAGCGTTGTATCCGGGCAGCCCGTCTGCGTATCGCCGCCGCTGGGACGTCCTGCTTAGAACTCTGGGTATTCCAGCTACAGCAGCGTTGACTCCAGCATCTGTGCGAGCCGGAGGCGCCATCTGCGCTTTCCAACGAGGCACTGCGGTGACGGACTTGATGTGGAGGATGAGATTAAAATCTCAGGTCACCTTGGAGCACTACCTTCAGGAAATGACTGGATTCTCTGTTCTCCCCTCTTTGCCGGCGGAAGCTCGTCGAAGGATCAAGGTGGCAAACTGTTTCTTTCGAGCTGTCGAGGAAAGGGCCATCTACTGCAAGGCGGCGCGCGTTGCGGCCTGTGATGGAGTGGAGGCTGCCGCTTAGCCTAAATCGGGCAAAGCAGGCTTCAAAACCTCCGACCTAGTACCTTGCAGCCATAGGCAAAAGGGAGCGAAGGAAGAGTGATGGCTGAGCATGTCTTTATGCATGCTTGCTGAACTCGTTTCGTCAGTTCTTCGGGTCAAGGAGTAGATGGCCCTTAGGCCCGTGCAGGCCTCCATTCTTGGGGGTACTTTGGCCTCTTTGGTCTTTCGAGCGGCCGAGGAGCTTCTTCCAGGTTCGCTGGAGCCCTCTCCGAGTCTCCCTTTCACTTGCCCCGTTGTGGACTTGCCTGAGGGGCTGCATCTGCCTTCTTTGCTTCTTGGGGTCCTAGTGGGTTTGGCCGCCGGCCCGGTTATAGACTTGGTCTATCTTCTTAGGGTGTGGTGGTCTGCTTTCGTCAGGGAGCGACTGGTTGCTCTCAGGCCGCGTGCCGGGCCGCTTTACCGGATCCTCTGATTGCATGGGATCTTCTGATCCTGTTCTGCAACTTCTTGTCACAACTGTTCAGGACTTGACTGCCGAGGTCAGGAGGCTCGGCTCTGAGGTGCGTGCGCTACAGGTCCTTGTTGCAGACCGCTTGGGCCCCTCTTCGCTGCCTGCTGCAAGCACTGTACCTCCAGGATCCCCGTCACACGCCTGGAACCCTGTAGTTCGAACTGCTGATCCGCCCGTGTCCCCAGGCCCAGTTAGGGGATCTTCGAGCCTGCCCTCCGCTGCAGGTACTTACGTTGATCCTGGTCCAGCGGGTCGGGGCATCACAGACGAGGAGCGCAGGGACATAGCCAAAAGGGTTGGGGCTTGGTTTGTGCGTTGTCTCGCGGGGCAGCACCGTGGGCCCAGCGGCAGGGAGGAAAACCCTCTTGCAAATCGTGTGTACCTAGTGATCAGGGATCATAGTGGTAAGACCTACGATCCGCCTTTGCTGGCACGAAACTTTGAGAGCATCAAGCGGCTTGTCAAGCCCGCTGGGTTCGTTGCCGGAGAAGCTGTTTTTGCCGGCTTCCCTTCTCAGTGGGAGGCCTCGCTTGCTGCATCCAGTGCCGGGCTGCAGCCGCCCGTAGAGAGGCATGTCTGAGCCCGAAGGGAGCTCCGAGGGGGAAGCCGAAGGTCTGGAAGCTCGGCCTAGGGAGCTTCGTTTTGCTTATGTGGGTGGTGAAGTGAATTATGACTATGAGCTTGGTGCCTTAGCTGTTGGAGACGGCGATTCTCGGCGCACCATTTCAGTTATTTTGGTGGTCCCGTTTGAAGGCAGGACCTTAGCAGTTTTCCCTCAGAAAGCTTGGGACAAGAAAGTCAAACAGCGGAAGTTGCCTGCTGGGCCTTTCTCTCGCCCTATGCTTGTTGAAGTTGCTTGTGCATCTGCGACCGACCGTTCAGTCGTGGGAACCGAGCCGCCTGTGAAAGTTTGGATAGGGCTTCTAGCTGCGAGCCTGGCCGACCAGGTTACCTTTGAATCCGGCGAGCTGCCAGACATTTCTTTTGCCACCTCGACTCGTGCAGGGCTTCCATTTGCAGAAGCGTTGGTGGAGCTTGGGGAGGCCCATTTTGGTTTTCAGAGTGCTCTGAGTGCTCCGGTGGACGGGGCGGGGCATGAGCAAAGATTCAGGGCCCTTGAGGCCAGCATTGCCCGCATCGCGCAGAGTGTTGAGAGGCTTGCTGGTGCTTCTGATCGTCCCGGTGCCGCGGGGCCTTTCTCCGAGAAAGCGGGGGCTAAGAACAAAGCCGCTGCAAAGAAGCCGCGTGCGCCTCTCACCGAAGGCTCCGTGCCGGGGACTCCGAGGCCGCCTGGTCGGGCAAAGGAGATCGCGTCGTTGGACCCTGCTGTTACCAAGGCAGCGTTGGGGGTCGGTGTGTCGCCCGCCGAGCTCGCTGAGATCGGCCGCCACATGAGAGGGCGGCGAGGGGGGCTTGACGATTTCCCTGGAGCCGACGACCCGGTCCCCGACGACGAGCTGGGCAGCGTGCTAGCCCAAAGCGGGCTTGAGGACGAAGGGCACGAGCCCGAACAGGGTGCGCCTGCGGTCGAGCGAGCCGTGCTGGCCCTCACTGGGATCATGAAGCAGCTGGTCGAAAAGAAAAAGCAGAGCGATCGGGCCGGCACGTTGGATGCTTATCTTGATCACGCTGAAGGCGGAACCGGCTCGGACTCATTCAGCTTCGGAGGTCCCTCAGGGTCTCGATCGAAGGCCGCCGCCTACCGTCTTTTGCGAGAGAGTCTCGAGAAATCGCCCGAGCTTGTTTACCAGGAAATCGAGCGACACATGGATGAGGACTTGCTGTCCCGACGTGCGGTCGGAGCTCTGTCTTCTGCCCAAAGCTCAGCTCGAGCATGGATCGAATTCCGGTCCAGAGTCGGGTATTTTCCGACCACGATCAGGACCCTATGGTGCCTAGGGGGCATCTTAGACTGTTTGAGGGACGGGCGCACCGGAGAAGCCCGTGCTCGTACTTGTCTCGCCATAGCGGCCTTGGACCAACAGTGCATCGACTCGGGGCAGTGGACGTTGGCACAGGAAATCTTACTCGAAGCGCCACCCCCCTTAGGATCATTCCAGGGACGCAGAGTGCTGCATGATCCGCTGGAGAGCTTTCACACGAGATTGCTGAGCAGCCGCTGGTCCGAGTTACTTCTGCATCGGGTGAAAGAGTTGGAGGCCTTCCTTGAGGCCAAACGCAAGTTAGGCCGCGGTCGAGGGAGCGATGCCCCTCCTCCTAAAGCCGGTGAAGACGAAGCCCTTCCTCCTGCAGGTCGCGGTGGCCGTCGCATCCCCAAGAATGGTGCGCAGGGATCTGCCGACAGATCAGGCCCCTCCGGGGGTCAGGGGCAATGAGGCTCTTACTTTCCGTTGCCTGGCTCTTCGCCGGGCTTCTGGCCATGCCCCTGCAAGAGGCTGGCCCTGTGTTTCAAGCAAGCTCTTTTTGGAATTCGCTGTCGGAGCTTCTCCTTACAGACCGAGGGCTTTCGGCTCATTTTGCTTCTGGCTGCGCCCGCCCTTCCTTTGTGAACCGGGCTTTCTTTCGTTCTT